TCCACAAGACTGAAGGCAGGTAGTTGTGCCATGGTATGGTTGTTTTTCATCTCAGATTTCATAAAATCTGGTTAGTGTGCATGTACACATTTGTGTGCTAAAGGCTCCCCAAGCTCTCGTTTCTCAAAGAACCCAAGGATCAAAGTCTCCCCGAGTGCAGTTTTATTCAATAAACTCTAATCGGCCCTCTCCAGGGGCCAGGCACCACCATGTTCCATCATGTCAGTAACGCAGGCAGTGAGGGGCCCCAAGCTGACTTGACATAATAGGAAGTAGTCTGAGTAGTTCTGCATGACAGCCAAGCTGTCAACACAGAAATGTGAGTTTATTTTAAGTGATCCATTGATTCTTTGTGTGCGTCCCGGCACGGTGCAGAGCCTGTGGTTTCCCCACTACTTGTGGCTTCCCTCTGACAGCTCTGGGGTTTGATGGCAAGGCCAAAAATAAGCACTGAGAATTCACAAATAGCAGCCTGCACAAGAGCAATCCTGCTCCTAAGTAAGCTAAACAAAGGATCTTTTTTTTGCCGCAGCATGCTAAGTCCTTGTTGGACAATATAGCATGTGAAAGAAATGCCCAAGACGATATTTCCCCAAGCGTATTTATCTGCTTAGCGAGTCTTGCCTGGAAAAGAGTGTCCATTTTTAAGTACATCGTTGAGATCTGGTTACTGTCTGGTCCCATCAGGGAAGGCTGGGAACGCTGGCTGCTGCTGGGGCTTTTTATATGCTTTCTGGTCCAGTAGCCAGGCCTGGGTTCTCCACGAAGCTGCCAGCGGATCCTTCCCATTCCTCTTTCTCTCCCCTTCAATTTCAGGAACTCCATTGTTCTTCTCTGTTACACTCCACTCTTCACATTTGCTGTGTGCCTTCTGTTAACGGCTCTCATCAAATCATCCCTGTCTTCAGAAATTTTTAGTAATTCCCGATGTATTATTATGTCAAATCTCGGTCCTTCTGACTCTCTCTCTCTCTTTCTCACACGCACACACACACAGACCTTGTCAGCGTATGCATTACAAATCCTCCACTTCTTCCCCCATGTCTGTCTTCTCTCCTCACCCGGCTCTCACACACACCATGCTCATTCTCGGTCTCTGCCTTTGTTTCTGTGCTAACACTGTGGCCCTCCAGCCCACCTTTTATCTTCTCTCTCATATTCTTTTCAAGACCAGCTTCAGTCCCCTCTGTGGATCTACTCTGAATCCCTATGACATTGGGGATTGGGATCACAAAAGGAGGTTTTCATTTATCATGTAATTTCATGAGTGATTAGCTGTTGCTAGTCTGGTTCCCACTCGATGGTGCGTTTTCTGAAGGCTCAGCTGATACCTCCAGTGTTGCCCTTGAAGTTGGGATGCACCAACAGTTCTTCATTTCAGTTACCAACCGTCCCTTTCACACACCCACACTGTAACTGGTGGCAGAGGGCACGCTCGTCTTGCACCCCTTTGCGCACGGGTTTACATTTCACTTTAGTGATTGGGTGGCAGGACGTGAGCACTGGGCACACCCTTGTGCTGGGTCTTTGACAAAGCTTGCTGGGTCTGTGCAATTTCCATGATGATAATGTCGTAGGCTGTTTATCTGAAACAGTCTTCTTTCTTTCAGTTTACTATTAAACCACTGGATAAAAAAATTGACGTCTTCAAATTTAACTCCTCCAAGCTTCGTGTTAATAAACTGGTAAGTGGAGATCCCAGTTTTTGTTACTGTGAAGCGTAGTTTTTATGAGACCCGGAACGCTTTTGCTGAAGGGTAGGAGTCCCGTCTTGCAGGCCTCGAGTGAGGGAGGCGTTCAGCTCAGCTAAAGAAGCATACCTCAGTCTTATGAGGAGACTTTTTTTTTCCCCAGAAAAAAATTTTTTTAATTAGGTTTATTGAAGTTCTTTATATGTATAATAGGGTTCATATTGTATATCCAAGGGGATTTCAAAGAGTGAATGGGAAAGATAATTTGTCTATGAACTCCTTGAAGCCCCCGTGTATAACATATACAGAGTAATTAAAAGGAACACCTATGTACTCACTGTGTGTTAGGAAACAGCACATGCCCAATACTGTTTCAAAAGGAGCTCTGTGGGCTATGCACGGAGCCAGCTGCAGAGTCAGCCCCTTTAACCCGGCAGCCTTAGAGGTATTACAGAGCAGTTCTCCCGAGTGTGTGCAGTTCCTTTTGGTTTAGGATCGTAGAGATAGTGTTCTATATTCTAAAAGTTTCAAGATTTTTATCTTCGCATTTAAACCTTCAATCTGCTGAAATTGTTTTTTGTGTGAGGTGTGAGGAAGGGATCCAACTCCACTCTGCCGCCCCCCCACCCCCCCAAAAAATGAAGAGCCTATATTCCCAATATCAATTAGAAGAATAAGATGCATCCAGAAGACAGGAAAATGTGTCCTCTCTTCTTCTCTTGACTTGTGGATTTTGCCTCCTGGCATACCTGAGCTACCTTTGTCTCGCCTGTCTCCAGAGCAGCAAAGACAAGAGGCTATTAATTGATGTTGGGTGTTTTAGTCAACTCTTGCCTTCTCAAGTTACCTACCACCCTCTGGAGCCCACGGGTGAAGATGTAACACTGGTGAGCTGCTAGGCCAAGAAGTCAGTTTGCACGTTTGACATGTCTCCTGCTTTCCTGGCCAGATTCTCCAGCTCTGTATCGGAAACCACGACCTGTTTATGAGGAGGAGGAAGGCTGATTCTTTGGAGGTTCAGCAGATGAAAGCCCAGGCCAGGGAGGAGAAGGCTAGAAAGCAGGTGAGCAGGACTGCTTGAACTGACATTGCCACTGCTTGGTCGGTCTTGGCCCAGGAGGCAGGGGGTAGGCATGGGCTGGCAGGTATCATTCAGCCACGGACACATCTGCTTTTACCTTTTTCCTGCTGGATCTTTCTTGGCCAATGACCAGCTGGTAGGCTGTCAGCTCTGGAGACGTAGAAGAAACTCACTGCAGGTGTAAAAGAAACCTCTCTCGCTATTACTTTGCTGTTAAGTAAAGTTGGGGAAGAGGTAGCAGAGCACGTGTGCCTCCAGCCCCATCTTCTTGTCTTTTCTTTTTTTTTTGCCTGCCTGTCTCCTTTGCCCGGCCTTCTCCTTTTCTAATTAGATGGTGATAGAATGCACGGCGGCAGTTCAGTGCCTGCTGCTGGCATGCTAATGAGGCTTCGGGCGGCCCTGCCCGCTGCAGGCCCGCGCCACAGCTGCTCGCCAGCGCCTCACCCGCAGCGGGCAGGGCCCAGTGAGGAGCTGAGGACTCGGGCTGCACCAGTTTCCTCTGGGCAGACCTTTTCTGCTCCCTGAAACCCACACAGCTCATTTGATCCTGGCTTCTGAGCGTATCACTTGCGTGCCTGGGGCTGGGGGGTGCTATTAGATGGCAGCTGCAGTCGGCTGCCCCCGGACTTGTAGCCTCTGAGGTGTAATAATTAGTCTGGGTACTGACGACGTGCCCAGCCTGATCCAGCGTGCCTTCAGCTCTTCCTCGTTGCTCTTTGAGGTAACGGTACTGGATGAGCACTTTAGGGGTGCTTGGGGGTGGGGAATGGGGTTTGGCAGTCTGAGCCAGCACAGGGTGGAAGGGGCAGCTTCAAGAAGACCCCTCCATGACCTCCTCTCCAGCTGAGCAGAGCTTAGAGCAGTGGTTCTCAACCTTCCTAATGCCGCGACCCTTTCATACAGTTCCTCACATTGTGGTGACCCCCAACCATAAAATTATTTTCATTGCTACTTCATCACTGTCATTTTGCTACTGTTATCAATCGTAATGTAAATGTCTGATATGCAGGATGTATTAGGCGACCCCTGTGAAAGGGTCGTTCGCCCACCAAAGGGGTCTCGACCCACAGGTTAAGAACTGCTGGCTTAGAGTGATAGATCTGAAAGCAGCCGGGAGCATGTGGGCCTCAGGGTCTGGTGGTGACCGGCGCAAATACCCCACAGACCTGTCCTGTTCGTGGGCCAGCGGGCACGGCCCTGGCACCTGAGCATCGGGGCAAACCCCAGGCCAGGAGGCCCTGTGGCCCTGTGGGGCAGCCCAGTCTGAGGTGTCCTCTCTGATCTCCCAGACCTCAGAGTTCTCCTTTGTTACATGGCACTGAGGAGACACCTTCTGTGTCCCAGATACGAGGGCACCCCATAGTTGGATGTCTTTGTTGGCAATCACCCGCTTTACAAATGGGGTGGCAGCCTCAGGGAAAGGATGCTGCTGGACACCGAAAGGGATTGCCGGGGTCCTCTCCAGTTGAGTGTGACAGAGAGTCCTTGGGTGGGAGGGAGGGGTGCAAATGGTCACACACTTGCTGCTGGCCAAAAGGTCCTCCAGGGGCAGCCCAGCCAGAAGCACCTGGGAAGAAAGGTCTAGCAACCTGCTTCCAAAAAGCCAGCCCCTGGAGATCCGATGGAACGCGGTGCCCCTTAGTGAGTCACGTGACCCCACAGCAACTCATGGGACTTTCTTGTTTAAAAGTCCACTTAGTGAGAATGACAGTGGGAATTAGAGACCAAATTGGCCAAGCTTTCCATTGATCTACAAGAGGACAAGTAGGGAACAGAACAGTATTTTATTGCTCGCCTTTGCACTGTTCTGTCAAGTCCCAATGCATTTGAAGGGCTTACTATTTAGAAAAAGCAGCTTCCTTAGAAATCTTGTGTCGCTGGAGTCTGGGATAAGATTGAAGCAATGTATTAAGTGAACTTTATTTGCGAAAGACATCAGGTTCGGGTCACTTCTGGCTCTTGCTTTCTGAACTTGGTTAGTGCCTGGAAGTCACAAAGAGGAGCCCCTGTCCTGTGCATGTGGCCTGATTAAGCTCACCTGTGGTCCCATTGGTGCAGTGGTCCAGGTGAAGGAGTGGCAGGGCTCTGTGCCGACACCTTCAGCGCTGGGGCGGGGCTGTGCTCCCAGCCTGGCCCCGGAAGTGGCCTCTGCTGCGCTGAGACAGCCTGGGTAATACAGCTCAAGAACCATTGGTGGCCCCCACCAGATGACTCCGTGCCCCCACGCCAGGCGGCCGGAGGGGGTGGTGAGAATTAGAGATGGTGAGCGGCACATCTGAGCAGAGGAGAAAGCTGTCTGATGGGCTCCATTTCAGGAGGAAGAAGCCTGCGCTGTGCCTGCAGATCAGAGCTGCAGGAGATTTTCTGGCCAAAAGTGGGGCTGGCAAGGTAGCTTTTGCAGATGCTGGGAATGCTGCCGCTCTCCTCCGGTAGAGACTGGCTGCCAGGATTTTTTTTTTTTTCTCCTTACCAGAAGACACCACTTTCACCTGCCAAGTGGTTTGGAAAGAAAGAGGGTGGTGGTAACAAGAAGGGCAGTGGCGACCTGAAGCGAATCAAAGGGCCCAGGGGGCTCCTGAGGGGAAAAGGGTTCCTGGGACCCTGTTGCACCCTGACTGTGCCTGCTCTGCCTGCAGATGGAGCGGCAGCGCCTGGCCCGAGAGAAGCAGATGAGAGAGGAGGCAGAACGCACGAGGGACGAGCTGGAGAGGAGGCTGCTACAGATGAAAGAGGAAGCAACGATGGCCAACGAAGCTCTGGTGACTCCCGAGACCGGGCTCCTGGGGGGCTGGCTGCCTCAGGACGGCCTGGAGTTGGGGACCTTCTCTCGGACACATCTGATAAATCAGCCTGTAAAAATAACCCCCAGACAGGTGCCATTTCTCAACACCTGCGCTGGCAGAGGCAGACTAAAATCAGGTGGCTGTGCAGTAGGCCTGGGCTGGCCACGAGGGCAGGACTCTCAGCCGTGGCATTGTGGTATGTGTGCCAGGCCATGCCTGGCATCTACCCATGAGATGCGAGTAGCACCCTCCACATGCCCCCTGGGGGTAAAATCGCCTCTGGTTTTGAACCAGTGATGTCAAGGGCGAGAACATAAAGCACAGCCTGCAGCTGAAGTGGCTCTTTCTCCTTCCCCATTAGTGGGGGCCTGGGGCCCTTCTGAAAAGGTGGGTGTCAGGGTCCCAAGGAGCCCGAGATGGCTCTTGCTGACCTGGGTGTTCACAGCTCTCTTCTCTGCAGATGCGGTCGGAGGAGACGGCCGACCTATTGGCAGAGAAGGCCCAAATCACCGAAGAAGAGGCAAAGCTGTTGGCTCAGAAGGCTGCCGAGGCTGAGCAGGAAATGCAGCGAATCAAGGCCACAGCCATTCGAACTGAGGAAGAGAAGCGCCTGATGGAGCAGAAGGTGCTGGAAGCAGAGGTGCTGGCCCTGAAGATGGCTGAGGAGTCCGAGAGGAGGTCAGTGGGCAGGGGCCTGCCCCAAGTCAACCACCTCCCCCCAACCCCATCTAAAACTGCTTTTCCACCATCTGGGATGGGGAGGAGTCAGTCCTTGACAGGGCAGGGCAGGCTTGGTTCTGTTAGATGAGCATCGGGACACCGCTCGCCTGATGCCACCTCTCCAGTCTGGCATGTGCCCTGCAAGCAGCCCCTCTCCCTCTGAAGCCTGTTTGCAGGAAACCATTGAGCCAGCCTGTCCACAGCTGAGGAGATGTGAGGAGGCGAGGTTTTTTGCTCATTTTATTTGATAGCGGGGACAGGGCAACAACAGATAGTTCCCTTAAAGCAGAATCAAGGCTCCTCCTTCCCTGAAGCCATTGCTAGTGCTCTGTCCTGCAGAAGGGGCTGGGATACCCCAGCCCATCACCATTCGAGGGATGGAGCTGTCATCTGGAGTTTCAGAGACTCGCACTGTGGCCCTCAGATGAGCCGTGGGGGGATCTCCTTAGCACGTGGTTCTCCTGGTCTGGGGGTGAGGCTTTCAGCCGCCCAGTACATCCACCACAGTGCCTGCAGTGCTCTGCTGTGCCCTCTGGGTCTCATCCAGCTCCCGGGCCTACCTCCATGGGTGTGGATCCCAGTCATATGCCTGGTGCTGCTGCCAAGGCCTCTCAGTGCCACTCCCAGTCTGTGTTCTCGAGGGCATGGCTCAGCACCAGCGCCTGGGAGCCCTCGGGCAATGGTGCTTCTTGCATCTCTTGCCCCTTGGGATCCAATAGAAGACCTCGGCCAGCCCACTCTTACCAGAAACGAGCAAACACAGAGCACTGGTCCCTCCCTCCAGGCACCAGCCATGGCAAAGCTTCGCATTTGAGTCTTGTGTTCCTGTGTCCCCGCTTTCTCAGTTTAGATTCTCCACGGGAAATGCATCGTTCCCAGGAGCGTGGTCCTGCTCTGGAAGCACTGGCTTCATACACTGTCTTTACCCCCACCCCCAGGGTCCTGGTTCGACTTGTCAGCCACCATTCTCTGGTGATCCTACAGCCCCCCTTGCGTCCTCTGTGCAGCTGACAGCCCCACTTTCCCTGGCAGGGCCAAGGAGGCCGATCAGCTGAAACAGGACCTGCAGGAGGCCCGAGAGGCTGAGCGGAGAGCCAAACAGAAGCTCCTGGAAATCACTACCAAGCCTGCCTACCCGGTGAGCACTGGGGTGGACACCCTGGTGACCTGTTCTCATCCCTGACCCTGTGCTTCACCTGCCAGTGGCTTCCCAATGAGCCGTTCATGTAGTCCAGGTTATGTGGGCGCTGGCTTACAACGTCCCTGCCTGCCATTTGGCCTTGAACCAGTTCACTGCTTCCCTGGTTGTCTAGATGACAGCAACAGGACCTTGTCTAGTTCAGAAATGACATGTTTCTAAGTGCTCTGGCCCCTCATTCTCCTGGAGAGAATGTGCTCTCTAGCTTCTCTGCTGAGTTGAATGCCATCTTCCCTAGGCCGTCCACATGCATGTCCCCACAGAGTGAGTGCCTGCCATGTCACCAGCTCCCAACCACAACCTGGCACCAAGGAGCCCAGCTTCAAGTAAATGGGGCCCCAAAAGGAATAGAGAAGCCCGTTGCTTCCCTAGGTACATTCAACCCCACAACCCGACGCTATCCTGTCATTGGACAGGCGTGTGCAGAGCACACTGGGGCTGAGAGGAGGAGCGTGCTGTTCGGTCCGAGAGTCAGGAGAGGTCTAGGGATGGCACCAGGGCCGAGCATTGGAGGGCAAGTAGGTGGGGATGAGATGAAGGGTACAGTAAACTAGGGCTCAACTAGGCTGGATGCCAAAGATCGATGTGTTTTCAAAACACTCATTGGAGCAAACGACGCAGTGTTTGTTCGAAAGGAGACAAGGCAGCACAGTGGGTGGAAGTGGTGGCTACTGAACGCAAAAGGTCAGTAGCTCAGGCCAGCCACTCCGTGGTGGACAGGTGAGGCTGGCTGCTCCCACACAGTCAGGCGGCCTTGGGAACCCCGTGGGGCAGTTCTACTCTCTGGGTAGGTGGAGGGTGCTCTGAGTCGTCAGCAGTGGGCTGTCATACGCTGTCCCAAGTGTACAGTTGGCTTAACAACAAATCCTGGAGATCATGTTTCCACTTTTTAAAAAAACTCATTTTATTGGGGCCCTTACAACTCTTGTAACATCCCATACATCAGTTGTATCAAGCACATTTGTACATACGTTGCCATCATTTTCTACACAGTTACTTTCTATTTGAGCACTTGATATCAGCTCCTCATGTGTCCACGTTTTAGCCCTATTTCTGTATATAAATGTATTGGAACTTGTCTAACCAGCCCCATCTTCCTGGCCTTTCCTGTGTCGTTGTGAACCTCACTGCGCTGCTCCGACCTTGGTAGGGTGCGCTCTCCTGATCAGATCTGCTGGGTGGACATCTTCATTTCTATGTTCTCCAAAGTAAGCGCGGCATGGCCCTCAGCACCTGCCTTGTAGAGTCATCTCTACATGGAACGTGCCTACAGAAAGGGGCCCAGACTTTAATTGTCTGGCCCGAGGACCCCGCACCCGCTGTTTACCTGGCACCTAGCCTCAGTCCGGTCACCACTCGATGTGCTGTGCCCTGACTCTTCCCCAGCCCTGTCCCGGACTCACTGAAGAACCCAGAGATGAGAAGGAGGCAGATTCTGCCGTCAGGAAACTGTAGTTGGGAGAAGGTGGCACAGCCAGAAATGATGGCAGAGTGAAATGAGACATGTCCGTACACAACTCAGCGCTGCAGCACAGCAGAGGGAGAGCTAGGGTCAGGATGGGCCTGGGGAGAGATGCTAGTGCTCCAGAAGGGCCCCCAGGGAAGGAGGGAGGGAGGGAGGGGGCAAAGTTACTCCACTCTGCCATCCAGCCGACTCTGCCTCATAGGGACCTCGCCGGACAGAATCGAACTGCCTCTGGGGTTCTGAGACTGTAAATCTTCATGGGAGCAGAAAGCCTCATCTTTCTCCCAGTGAGTGGCTGGTGGTTTTGACCAGCAGCCCAACATGTAAAGCACCATGCCACCAGGGCTCCTACGTCACAGGGGCAGAGACGAGAGAGCCAAGTGCTTCAAGAGAGCACACACCTTCCTGTTGGCTATTTTGTAGGGCAAGAGGTTAGAGAGGCAGGTGGGGTCCATATTTTAGACACCCATCCTTTTGTTCTGAGAAGAGAAATTTCCTAAAACAAATCGAATTACTCCATTCTCTGGCTCCTTCTTCAAGACCCAGGCCTCAGAGCACTGTCTGGTCCCAGTCTCCCATCCCTACCCACCCTTTCCTGATGCCCCATCCCCATCGTCAGTGTCCCACATTCCCTGGGAACATGCCATGCCCGTGGAAGCTCACTCACTCTCCTGGCCAGCCTGCACCTTCAGGAACATTCTCTGACATCAGCAGAGCAGCCATACCCAGCTCTCGCAGTCCTGTTGGCTCCCCGGCTACAGTATCCACCTGATGGAGCTGTGATGCTCTGCAAACTCCCCTGTTTCCTGAACGAGACCGAGACCGTCGGCTACTCAAAGGCCAGAAACCCTGTCTTGGTGACTGCCTCTCAGAGCCCAGGATCTGGGTGTTTCTGAGTGCAGGCTTGCCTCATTTGGCAGAGTACAAGGGACTGTTCCAGGTGCGAGGAGAAAGGAATGGTTTTCCTGGAGGTGGCCTCTCCGGGGAAGTCCACCTGGCCGTGACCTGTATGCAGGGAGTGGAGAGAGAAGGGTCAGGAAGTCGGGATGATGCCGGAGGGGAGGGGCTCATTTGTGCCCGTTGGCCTTTGTGGTTGTGGGCCAGTTGTTAATACAGCAGTGCCTTCTGTTCTCTTGTGGCCTGAACCTTCTAATCTCTTTCATAGCCCATGAACCCACTTCCGGCCCCACTGCCTCCTGACATACCAAGCTTCAGCCTCATTGGGGACAGCCTGCCCTTTGACTTCAAGGACACTGACATGAAGCGGCTTTCCATGGAGATAGAGAAAGAAAAGTACGTAGCCTCCTGGGCCCTGCCCTGACGTGCCCCGCCCCCCACCCCACTCCAGTATGGGGGATGGGTGCTCCGTGTCGGCTTGCAGGTCGTGGTGGGGGCTCTCCTTCCTCGTGGGGGCAGAGTGAGCCCCTGCCATCTTTAGAGCGCATAGAGTGTGGCCATGACCTGCCAGAAGTCCCTCAACTGGAGTGACTGCTCTGAGAAGGATCAAGACAGAGAGGTTGTTAGAGGTGGCAGGAGCCTCGGGTTTTGTACAGAAAGAAGTGCTCTCTGGTGAGAGTCTGCAGGGGACTCTCCTTCCTTTGACAACTGGAGGCCCGTTTTATGGAGGCGGCTCCCCGGCCCGGGTCCTCGCTGGGCAGGCGTGACCCGTCCCTCCCTCTGCCGGCAGAGTGGAGTACATGGAGAAGAGCAAGCACCTGCAGGAGCAACTCAACGAGCTCAAGACGGAGATCGAGGCCTTAAAGCTGAAGGAGAGGGAGACGGCGCTGGACATCCTGCACAACGAGCACGCCGACAGGGGCGGCACCAGCAGCAAGCACAACACCATCAAAAAGGTACCGGGCCCTGGTCTCGTGCCCATCAGGACAGGAGAGTCGCTGTGAGGCGGGAGGGGGCAGCTGGTTTCCTCGGCAGCTGGGCCATAGACTCTTGTCCTCTTTTATATGTACTTGGTTGAGGAACTCTTTTGACTCGTGCCAAAAAGGGACTCTAGGCTGCCAGTGGCTTGATGGAAGTGGAGCTTGTGAAGCGGACTCCCGATGCGGGTGCGCCCTGGGCCCTCGCTCAGCAGTGAAGCCGGCAGAACGAGACCGCGGAGGGCACTGGGGGTTGTCAGTAGTGGACGCTCCTCAGGCCCTTGAAGGGACAAGCACACTACGATGCCAGGCTTGGCTTGGAGACCAGTGTCTGAATTTTAAACATTTTTCTGTACTTGAAAGGCAGTATTCAAGGAGAGCCATCACATTTTAAAAGATGAGACTTCGTGGCAACAGTGATGGCAGCTGCTTTATCTTTCTCCACGGGTGTTTTGAGCTTGCAAAATTGTCGGGGAAGCTGAGTTCCATACTCATGATCAGCCCCAGAGTCACTTCTCTTATGCTGGGCATTAGAAGACAGACCCTCTCTTGCCAACTGCTGCTCTGCTCTTAACTGATAGCCCAGGGTCAGGCCAGTGCCTGTTCATTTTCACCTCTTGGCCTCAGTCTTGAAGCGCCCTAGAGGTGTGGTTACCAGTGGACTGCGAACCGCAGTCAGCAGTTCGAAACTACCAGCAGCTCCCCACAGGCGAAAGAACGGGCTTTCTACTCACGTAAAAGAGTCACAGTCTTGGAAACCCACAGGGCAGGCCTCCCCTGCCTGCCGTTCAGCGCCCCCAGGAGTCAGCATCAGCTGGGTGGCAGTGAGCTTGGTTTGGGTTTGACCTTAGTCTTTCCAGTGGACTCCGGCTCGAAGACATCTCTGTGTTGTCTGTGTTTAAGCAGAACGCTCTTTGCCTCTCCTGGTTGGTGGGGTCAGGACTGACTGCCGCCTCCACCTGTTAGTCTCATTGCGGCCTAGAAGGGAAGACCTTCCCCATTGGGTTTTTGGGATTTGCCAGAATTCCCTTCTAAAGCAAAACGATTAAACAGCAAAAAGGGGACGGGGTGGGGTGGGGTGGGGTGTCAGTAGGAAGGCCTTAGCCAGTGAGCAGAGAGCACAGTAAAATGAGGACTGTCCTGGGAGCCAGTCAGCCAGCTCCTGAGTGAGCTGCCTCAGGGCAGCCCCTCCCCCAGCACCTCTGCCCCAGGGGCTGGGGGTGAGTGAGCTGGGCCGCAGAGGCCGGGGACTCAGCGGCCTGGAGTCAGGGAACGCTCCAAACCAGCCCATAAAAGCAAGTCACTTGTCATGGTTTGAGGCCTGAGCATTTTGCAGGTGGCTCATGTGGAATTGTTGATATCACAAGGGTCTGTTTTTGTTTTTCTTCATCTTATTTTGCTGGTTTAGCCTCAAGTCCAAGGCAGAAGACCTATCTGCATTTGAGCCCTCAAAGTAGGTTCTCCCCAGGTACTCTGTGTGGTGACGGTACTTCCTCTGTGATACTAACCCATGCATGACCTTGCCTGTCACCGTCCTTGGGCAGGGGCCGAGGGCGCCTGGATGCTGGCCGCAGCATGCTTCGAGTCTGAGAGCAGGCCTTGCCCCGGTCTGGGACACGGCCTCCTTCTGAAGAGCATGTCACGGAATCCTCGGACCAGTTGTCCTTCACACCTGTGTCACTGTTGGGCTGGGGACGGTCATGGCTTCTTGTCCAGTCAGGTGTGTCTGAAAGTCCTTTGTCCTGGTGGTGTTACCGTAGATCATAACCCGAGCATGGAAATGGGGTCGTTCTGGTTGCTTTTACTGTCGTCGGTGTTGGCTCATGCGGTGACCACCTCTGAAGACGTGTGGTCTCGCCTGGCAGCGTGCTCATCACCCGCCTGCCGAGCCTCCCTTTCTGGGCACAGCCCTTCTCTTCTCCAGGAAGGCCCGTGACTAGCACAGGGCGCTGAATTGTAAGTAAGTCTGAACACCCTGTCGGGGCCCTCAGTGTGCTGAAGGCCACCTCTGCGTCCGCTCTCAGCGGCCTGGAGTCGCCTTGGGGGTCAGAGGGACGCCTGCTAAAGCGGAGCAGTCGGGCCCAGTAGAGATGAGCTCGCAGAACGAGGGCTGCTCCTCTTCTGCCAGGCAGTCATAAAGTGACATCCTGCCATCAATTGCTTTTCAATGAAAAGGTGGTGGTTCAACCTTCACAGCCTAGTATGTTCCTCCTCCTTGCTGTCCATCTCTGCTGCCTCCGAGAGGTCGGTGTCTGTCTGTCTCCCAGTACCCATGGGGGCTGTGCGTCACTTGAGCTGATTCAGGGGCCACTCCCCACGGGACCAGGCATCGTGGGATAAAGGGAGGAACCGTTCGCAGGGCAAGAGGCCTGGCTGGCCCTCGGCTGCCACCGTCTTTCTCTCTAGCACGTCCTCAGTGTCCTGGCCTAGAGAAGGGGGCAGTGGTTTCAGGTCGAGCCAGGAAGAGCTCTGAGGGTTTGAAAGTCGAGAAAGGACAAAACCAATGGTGACCCTGTGACTCGGGCCGCCTTCCCGCATGCATGTCCACACTCGGTGATAAGCAAGCTTATGCTCTGCATTCATTTCCATGGGTCTGTAGAGTACAAGCTTTAGAAAATCCAGCAGCCAGAATTAACTTATGTAATTCCTTCTAATACCCAGTTTGGGTTTACAAGGGTCTATTTTTCTCTTCCTGCGCATCTTAACTCATCACATTTCCATTTTCCCAATTGATCATCAGTGCAACTGGCTTGCTATTTGCATCTTGAGTCAGGCCAGCACTGGGGATCTGCGGGATCCTGGGCAGCTAACTGGCTCATGGGCAGAGGGTGCCTCCGCCTTAGGGCTGTGAGTGAGGATGGAAAGGTCCCACAGCCCAGCAGGGTGGGGAGGGACGCAGGTGCTTGGACTTGAACTTCCAGCCTTCAGAAGCAGTGGTACTGATGATGTGATCAGTGACCAGGCAGGCCTGGAGTAGGCCCACTTCACCCCTCCAAGGGACAGCTTTCACACTCTCAATCCCGGGCTGGCCTGAGTCCCAGCAAACTCATCCTTGTTTGGTGCCTGTGGTCCCTGAGGGAGCATGGAGGTTTAAAGGCAATAGGCCGACGTGGAGTCCTGGAGATCATGGAGCAGAGACAGTGCCTTTATTAGAATGCTTTGGCCCCCAGATCAGGCCTACAGGGAACCTCGACATTTTGCCGATGCTTGAGCAGTCTCTCTTGGGTCAGGAAGACCTACAAGTACAATGTCATCTCCAGTTTGTGCCTGACTCCCCTTGGCTGGTGAAGTGGCCTGGGGCAGTGACACATCACAGGGAGAGGCGCAGCTGCGGGAAAAGCATCCGCACAGTGATCGGGAACTGCCAGTACCTGCTCCCTCGGTGCCCTGTGGTCTGTTTCGCTGGCCTGAGGATGTCACTAAATCATTTAGACTTAATGATTGGTTAGGAGGATCACTTCTCCACAGGACCCTCATGGACTGAGGGTCTCTACTTCTGCTGCCTGTTTGGAAAGACGTTGCTCGGGCTCCCTGGCTCCAGAACCTTTGTTGTTGGAATGCTGCAGTGTCCCAGTTGGGAGGGCTGAGGAGCGATAGGCAGTGGCGGCAGCACCTAGTGTGGGTGAACTCAGGAGACAGTGTGGTGGCCGCAGGGGCTCTGGCTGTGCTCCTGCTGGAAGCACAGGAAGGCCATGGGAGTCTCAGGCTGGTTCCAGGCCCTCCTCCTGGACTGGCGGCTACCTTGTGTTCCCTCTTACCTCAGCTCACACACCCAAAACGCTTCCCTCTTCAGCTGCCCCTCATGCAGCTTTGTTTGTTTTGATAGCTCTCTGCATGGAAGATGCTGCCAGCCTCTTTTCCAAAAAATTCCCATTCCAGACGCCATTTCTGCTGGGAGGTGCTGCTTCATCTGCTGATTCTGCACTCGAGTTTGGAAGTGCCTGCGGACATGATCGGGGCCTTATTTGATGCTATAAAGCAGCCGCGTGGTCCCTCAGCACTGGCGGCAGATTGCAGTGTGCTCGGCACTTGGCCCGGATTTGTAACTGCGACTGCAGCCGTGGGAGGGAAGGGACAGGAAGCAGGCAAGGTCCTTGGGCAAGAGGCTCTTTGCTTCTGATCCCTGCCATGATTTCTCCTTTGATGTGGGCAATTTAACAACGACATCGGTCTCTCGGGACTTTACCCCTGAGGCACAAGGGCAGCGTTCTCAGTAGGGCTAGTCTCTCTCCTGCCTGCCCAGTGAGGCGAATGAAGCCAATTAGTCCATTTTCCAGGTGGCAGGATGGTGTGGCACAGGGCCCCACCAGCATCCCATGGGTGTCTGGAGACCTGGGCAGGCACCACATTCCAGGCAGCTGTCTGCAGCTTCAGCCCCTGAGGTCCCATGGGCAGGAGGGAGCCCCCAGTCTGCAGCTTCAGCCCCTTAGGGTTCTCCCCGGCAGCTTTAGCTCTAGAGCAGACAAAGGAGCCAAGCCTGAAGTGCAGGGCCACAGGAAGACCTCACCAGCCTCCACACCCACCCCCCAGCAGCTGCCCCCACCTCGGTACCCAGTCTTCCTCAGCCCTGTGTGAAGGGGGACCTGTATCACCCCCCACACCAGAGGATGCAGGAGGTTGCTGCTGGGCCACCTGTCACCTTGCTGCCTCAGAGCTGGCCTCCTGCTGTGAGTCGAGGCACCAGAAGACCAACCATGTGTTGCTCTGCCTCTCGTCCCCGGCACTCTAACTTTCAATATGGAGCGGCTGAGAGGAAGGATAACACGATTTTAGGGCCTGCATTTCAATTCCACCGCGTTTTTATGGGACAAGCAGCATCTCCGCGCCTAGAGTTATTAGGTTAGTATCTAAAAATGGGTTCACTGTTGTGGGTCTTATTGTTTAAAACGAATTAGGCTGCGCTTCTCCCTTCCTCTCGTCTCCCTGGGGATGGGCGGATTGAGGCGAAGCCCCTGGAGACCAGTTGGCGGAATTCTGGGGCTCTGATGAGTTCTGTTCTCCAGCTTAATTGTAGAGCCTCCTTCTGTCTCCGTTGACAGCTGAAGTGGCACTGTGTCCTGCTCACCCCCACCCACCCCCTTTTGCTATAGGAACAAGATCATCACAATGCGGCCCTGTGAACCGGCTTTCTCTGTGTGCTGATGAAAGTGTACTTCATTCTTAATCAAGCAGCCCCACTGCTGCAGGCTCCGTGTTCATGCACCCAGGGGTCCTCCAGATCCCCCACCCGATCCTGCACAAGGACTGTTAGAGGAGAGCCCACCTCGGGCTGTGCTTCTCCAGCAGGGGGCACTCTTGGGGGAAGCCTTCCCTGGCCCACTAGAGAGATGAGCTCCGGTGTGTCACGATGCCTTCAGGCTTGCCGTCTCCAGGCCCTGGGGCCGTTTCTCAAGAGCCAGCCTGAAATTCTCACCTGAAGGAGCTGGGTAGCCAGTCCTGTGTAGGGCTCCGAGGAGCAGCCACCAGCCCTTAGTAAGGGACCAAATGTGTCCATTCCTGTCATACCACACAGGGTGGGTTGTTTGAGGAGGCCTGGCCGTGCCCCTCTTAGCCTGGTGGCCATCACCACAGCTGGTGAAATGGGAGAGACTGGCAGGATGAACAGTGCCTGCCAGGACTGGGCAGGAAGAGGGCGCCAGGCACCCTGGGCGGCTCAGTCATCTGTATGTGCAGCAGAGAAAGACGGGACGCGGTCTTCCCAGGGTGCAACTGGATTAGTGACAGACTTGACAGCCAGTCCAGTCGAGTGGACTGACTGCCACCTCTGCCCTTGGCCACGTGTCTGGGTGTAAGCAGATGTAAAGAGGCAGCTGGAGAGAGAGCACTTGACGGTGCCTGATGGGGAAACCCCTGCTCTTCAGTCATCCTGGGGAGGGGCCAGAGTGCTGGGCTGGGCTGCGTGCTGCCGTGATAGGGCTCGCAGCGCTTCCAGAGGAGCTCAGCCGTGGCTGCTATCATGGGCCAACAGGCTCGGTTGTGAATTCTGGGGGATAGTGTGTGGCAACTGTGGTGGCCGCCACGTTTGGGCAGAGCACCGCCCCCTCGCCCTCCTCGTCCGTCCGAGGACTGAGGCCGTGGGCTGCGAGGTAGGCCTGGGTGACTGAGCAGCGTCTGCCCGCCCCGGCACCTGGGGCTGCAAAGGGTTCGTGGAGGAATGCCGTGACTCCCTAGTCCGTTTCTCCTTCAACTTTGGAAGCCTTGTCGTACAATTGCATCCTGGACATTTTCTGCTTCACCATCCACTGGAGTGCGTGGGTGGCGGTGAGCTTGCTGCTGCTCAAACAGGCACGGGTAGGGGTGGATGGCCAGGGCCGCGGAGGTGTCTGGATGTGGGCAGATGGGTGGGACGCAGGAGGCCAGCTTCAGTTCTCAGTTTGCATCTGGGGTCCTCTCCACGGCCCCTGTGGCTCCAGAAGCAAAGCCACCGCTCTGATGCGCAGGGAGACGGGGCAGACTGCAGCAAGGCCTGTGCACCCTGGACTAGCACCCGGGGATGCCGCTCTCGAAGTTCACATGAGCCTGGAACAGCGGTTCTCAACCTGTGGGTCACAACCCCTTTGGGGGTCGAGCGACCCGTTCACAGGAGTCGCCCGATTCATCCAGTAACAAAATGACAGTGATGAAGTAGCAACGAAAATAATGTTATGGTTGGGGGTCAGCACCGCATGAGGAACTGTATTGAAGGTCGCGGCATAGGAGGGTTGAGAACCAGTGCTCTAGAAGAAGGCCACAGAGGCAGAGGGGGTCTTTTATGAAAGGCAAGTTTTGAACTATTCCCTCTGGGCCTCCCCCTTCCTTTCATGAAAACCTTCTGTCGGAAGCTGGGCTGTAAGTGTGATCGTTGGGGAGCTTTCTAGAATGGGTCCTGCCCACCGGAGATATGATGAAGCAGTGGGAGCAGTTTGCAGACCCTGAGGCAGGCCCCAAGGGGCAATCTCTGGCAGGATAAGAGGTGAGGCTGGGCCCCAAGGTGAAGGTAGGGATGTGTGTGGGAGGGGGTGTGCAGGCTGAGAGCTGGGCCCTGTCCATCGCTCAGCACTCTGTGTCCCGCCGAGCACATGCTCCAGGAACTGGAATCCAGTGCCGCCAGAGTTGCCAGAACCCTCCCCTGGCACCTCGAGGGGCAGCCAGACTAGCTACCCGGCAGGAGCATCCAGGAATTCTTGGAGCCAGCATTGTGCAGCAGGCAGGAGGCACTTGGGCCCCACAGTCCTGGGCTTTCTGCCTGCTGAGGTGGCCAGGCCTCTCGGAGCATCTGCCTGTCGTGCCTCCATGGACAACGCCATCCTCGGCCCTGAGTTCTGCCCCCCACAGGAAGTTGGGGGGGTGGGCGTAGAGGGAGAGTGGAGAAGCATGCCAGTGTGATTAGTAAGAACAGCTGTCGGGTGCTCAGCGTGTGCCAGGCACGGAGGGAGCTTACATGCGTTAACCAATTAGTCCGCCCAGCCCCCTTCGAGGAGGGGCGGCTCTCACCCGCCTCACTGTGAGGACTGAGACCTCCCCTGGGCCACATAGCCAGTTTAGGGATCAGGGTTGAGGGTCAGAGTGGCCTCAGGCAGGGCCCTGGTCAGAGATGCCTTCAGGGCAGCTGGCTGTGGAGACACTGAGTTTCCTCCAGGCCCTTCCTGATCTTCACACTTTGCTCCCTCCCGGAGCAGACAAGAGGCTCTCCCTGGAGGAACAGCCTCCTGCGCCTGGGCTGGTATGTCGGGGACGCCAGTCCAGCAGCTTTGGCAGGATTTGAAGTGTCACTCTCCAGCTGTCTTGTTTCGAGCACACTGGTGCTGCCTGCCTTTTGATGGTGAAGTGGCTGGGTTGAGTCTTCCTCCCCCGCCCTGGGTAGAGCCATGCCCAGCATCTTCCCTCTCTCCTGACCAGGGCATTCCTGAGGGGGGGGGAGCCAGACCATGCAGCCTACCCAGGTGTCTGTCTGTCTGACTCTCTCTTAAACACACATACACACACACACACACACACACACACACACACACACACACGGAAAGGGGTGCAGAGAGACGGGGTATCATGGAGGCTCTTGCCCCGCGCCATCCTTGTGATCTGAATCTTATCCAACAAGCACAGTCTGAGCTCTTCCTCGGAGCTGAGCACCTGGCTACGTGCTCTGGGTATGAAGGTGCCCCTGCCAGCTGAGACCGTGGGAAGGACTGGGGCCCGGTGTAGAGCACACAGTCTGACCCAAGTGGATCTGGGAGCGGGGACGGCTTGGTTTGGGGGGTCCTGGGAAGTGGCTGCAGAGTTAGGCTCCAGCCTGCATCCCCAAGCCCTGGGTTCTGTGCCTTGGGCATCGGCCTCTCCCCCACTGCCACCTTCTCCCCCTCAGTGGGAGGAGGGCCCAGAGAGTGGCTGGGCTTCTGGATAGAGTCTGCCTCCCCGAATGAGCCAGCCCCAGTTAGCAAGCCCACGGGGACATTTGGCTCCAGGTGGGTCTTCCTGGGGAACAGAGTGGAGACAGGCAAGCTTTCCAGGGTGGGAGGACAGGCCTGTGCCCAGTGAGGAGTCCCCTCCTGGGCCAGCGCTCCTGCAGACAACAGCGCAGGGGCATCTCAAAGACAAGAATATGAACCCATGAAAAGGCCCAACCCCCTGTCTTCTTCTTTTTTTTAAACATTTTATTAGGGGCTCATACAACTGTTATCGCAATCCATACACACATCAATTGTGCAAAGCGCATTTGTACATCATTCTCAAAACATTTTCTCTCCACTTAAACCCCCGACATTAGGTCCTCATTTTTCCCTCCCTCCCATCCCCTGTCTTCTGATAACGTTTTCCCACCAACATGCTCACTAGCCATCGTCTCTGGCTTGGCTTTCTGGGCAAATCTGGAAACGTCTTCGGGGTGCCCGCAGATGCCTAGGTGTCTCTGAATCGGCTTCCTTTCCTGCAAGTCACTTTCTGAGCTCACCCAGAGGCAGGACAGGGCCTGGTGTGTAAGCAGGAGCTGACTCCCTCCCGTCTTCTGTCTCCCACAGCTCACCCTGCAGAGCGCCAAGTCCCGAGTGGCCTTCTTTGAAGAGCTCTAGCAGGGGATTCGCCACCCAGGACCTGCCGCTGTGGCACCAGTGGGACGGGCCAGCCACCCTGGGGACCTGCCATAGGTGGGCTTGCGGTGGCTTCCACAGAAGCTCTAGAACTTTCTCTGGCTACGTGCAGAGCCAACCCCCTTCATGTGCAATTGCCTTGAACTGAGACCTGCCGGGATTTCTCTCGTGGGGTTCTAGTTCTCCTGACTTGAGTCGTTGCTTTTTTTAAAGGACTGCTTGTCTCTCCTCTTCGATGTGTGATCTTACGCTTTCATTGTCAAGGACACCGTGGTGTGTGTCTGACTTGCCGGTTCCTGGCCCACTGAGAAAAGGGCGCAGGGAGTGAGGTGCCCAGGGCTCTGGGCTGCCCATCTCTGTGGACAGGGGCTGCCACACCGTGCAGAAGCAGGGCGTGCTGGGCCTGCCAGCCACACAGCCACGGCGGCAGTGAGGGAGCAGTCCCTGAGCCCGGCACCCTGAGGAAGTCCTTGCTGCCCGCTGGGGGACGGGAAAGACAGCTGCATGTGGGGGAAGAGTTTCGGCAGAACATGTGAAGAGGGGCTCACTGCCAGCAGAGAAGCTTAGGTGCCGCTGGGAGAGCTGCTCGGTGGGGATCTGCCCCTCACAAAACGTGCCCGCCTTTCCCTTGCCCTCGACCAGCCTCTCGGGGTTTTTCCGGGCCCTCGGTCTGTGGCAGCTGGTGGCCCCGCAGCCCCCTGGCCAGGCTGCTCTCCGACTCCAGACTGGACATCCTCTCCAAGCTGGTCCAATCACCTGGCCATGGGCCTGCCCCTTGTGCTCCCTTGGTCACACTGGGCGATTGCCCTTGTCCCTCACTTACTGCCAAGTGCCATCCTGTTAGCTCCGCCCCGGGGTTTCCTGGCTGTCATCCCTGAGGGCACAGAGCACCAGGTCTTTCTCCCACACAGCTGCATGGTGCAGGCCGACCAACAGCCTCTCCCTTCGCGGCTGAGTGCTTAGTCATCTGCACCACCAGGGCTCCCTGGACTTTCCCCCATAGGGCCCCTCCCTTCGAGATTCAGGAGCATGGTGTCCACTCAACCAGAGCTGGTCAGACCCCTCCACCTGGCTGCTGTGCCGGGCAGGTGCCAAGGCTTAATCAGCGGAAAGAAGCTTACAGGGTGAAGGCCTATGGGGTGTGGCAGTCTCTTAAGAGAAAACGGGGGTCTCTGGTCCTTCTGTTTGGGTATGCGGTGCTCGTGGAGAGCCCCCTTCGACCCAGCAGCCTGGGTCACCCTCCACCCCCAGACACGGAGCAGGGCTCTGCATGTGGAGCGTGAGTCTGAACGGGCTCCCGGAGCTTCCCTCTTCCTCAGGAGCTGAAGCCCAGGAGGCTGTGAGGTGTGAGACCTGGCGGCCTCTCCTCAAGCTGAACACCTATACCTGCATTTCTACTGCGAGTGACTTCCCTCCTGGCCTGTAAATGTAATTCTAACTGGCTTCGGGGCACAGACACACGGTAGGGTTTGTAAAAACATTGTCGGGCTTTACTTTTATATAACTGCGATGTGTGTGTGTGTGTGTGTGTGTGTGTGTGTGTGTCTGAAGTGGAGAAAGGCCAAGCGCCAGGCCCCCAGGGTGCCGGCTGGTGTCTGACCTGTGCAGAAGGGCCCTCGGGCCGGAGCCCACGCCCACGCCCCCAGGTAGGGGGCTTGATGACAGAACCAGCTCTGCTGGCCCTGGAAAGATGGGGGCCCGGTGGGTGAAGCGTGGAGAGAGAGGGGAGCTTGGTTTTCAGAGACGTGACCTGTGACCGGGGGGACTGTTCTCTTTAAGTGAGCTTGTTGAGGGCATCCGAGCCTGCCCAGAAAGTGGGCTCAGGAGTGCCCTGGCCGTGAGGGTTCTGGTGGCGCCAGTCAGAAAACTTGGAGAAGTTGCGGCCCCATCACACTGCGCCGGAGGCCGCCTCCGCTGCCTCCTCCTTCCTGATGGAGCCTCTCACAGCCACGCCACAGCCACTGCGGTCACCCACGTTCCTGCCAGACGGCGCCCAGGCAGGACACACCTGGTTTGGTAATCTTAGGGGCAGCCTTCTCTCTCCCTCCCCCCCTCTCTCAGTCAAAGCAGCCAGTCCAGAGTCTGACAGCAAGTCCCCCATGGTGACCACGAGTTCCTGCTGAGGGGCTGGAGCCTGGAAGCCCCTGAAGACAACCCTGGTGGGGTGTCGGCTCCCCTGCTGTTTCCCCCACCCCCCAGGGCCAAGCACGGGCTTGCCTGGGCTGCTTGGGGGACTCGGGTTTCAAAGATGTCACATGGTACTCCTTGGGGGGGGGGGGGGCCTGGGCCCACCCGCCCCGTCAGGACTGACCATGGAGGCTCTTTTCTACCCTGGGAACTGTTGTAATTTAAACGATGGTTTTAATAAAAGTTGTAAGCTGTAAAAAGTCCATCATGGGCTCCCTTGGCATCCTTGTTGCTGAGTGGTGGGAACAGGCCTCTGGGACATACACCTCCATGTCCAGGACTGCAGCTTTAGCCCTTTGGCCCCTCTGTGCACACCAACAGCAGTACCCCTCCCTATGAGGCAGGCAGGGTAGTGGCAAGGGCCCCAGACAGCTGTCCAGCCTTCCGTTTGGACCTGTGCCCGCTGCCTGTGCGTAGCCTAGACCTGCTGACCACCAGGCACTGGGCTGCACCTCTACCCCCAACCCCCAGGTCGTCCAGGTCTGCCTGGTGCAGTGCGTTCTGCTCGCCTGGGGACCACGAGGCATGTTCAGGTGAAGTCGGGAACTATCCATGCAGGACTCATTTCCTGCTGTGTCTCTAATGGCTAAAGGTCGTTTATTAAGAGACAGACGAGTCTAGAATATCCCTCTGCCCAAGAGCATGGCAGCCAAAACCAAAGAGCCAGCAACAGTGAGCTGACAGGCTGTCCCTGGGCCTGAGGTCACTGGCGTTCGACCACAGCACAGGCCAGTCGGTAGTTATTTGGAAGGGTGTATAGGAAGATGACTTACAATCAGAAAGTTGTGGGCTTCCGTTACACGCCATATCGGATCCAGACCGAGTTCGTCACTGGACAAACCCTCCACCTCTCAAAGGCAGGGATGCTCTGGGCAGCATGGAAGCTTGCCCGCCCAGGTGGTCCAACACCCTACCTAGAGTGGTTTTAAAGACGGACAGCCCTGGAAGAGAGTGGACACCCTGTCTCCATTGGGTGTGGTAGAGTTAGTTAGCAACACCCCCGCTCCGCTCCCTTCTCTGCCTGCAGCTTGGTCTGACCGTGCTTGTAAGCACGCAGCCCAAAGCGCCCCCTCGTCCACCCTACTGCAGGACTGTGTGCTGGCAGCCCTCCCTGGGGCAGCCCACCTTCACATCGGAAGGCGGGTAGGGAGCCACCACAGGTGATGGGGCCTGGCAGCAGAACTCAGGGAAGAGGTATTGCCCAGGAGACTGCCGCAGCCGTGTCTAATCCAATTTCTCGCCAGTCTGCCGAGCGGTTCCCTACCCCCAACTCCCCCCAGGCAGCCTGAAGCCTGGTCTCCCCGCCTGGCCAGGAGACCACGGGCTCTTCCCCTCCCCTCCCCGCCCCTCCCCAGCCGCGGGCTCCCTGGCAGCCTGTCTTGACTGCATTGTGGTGGCAGGAGCCAGGAGCTGCAGTCCCAGGCCTCTGGGAGCCCCAAAGCTCAGGCGGGACAGCTCCCACAGACCTGGGGCTGACTGAAAGAGGCACCCCACAGTGTCTTCGTCCAATCCCCATGGGGTGGCAGCCCCTGGCCTATGGCCGCTGCAGTCAGCTCCTCGCCGCCAGACCCAGGCCATGGCCTGCACCGCTGGTTCCCCCGGCACACAGGCAGCCTGGGCCAGGCAAAAGTGCCCAGACTTCTAAGAACAAGGTGTGATGGATGGAGGGCCACCTTGCTGTGGATCCTGGAGGCCCCAGGACGCAGGAAGGTTACCCTTGTAGCCAGCCCCAGAGAGTGGGACATGAAGAGCCCCTGCTTGGAAATCAGAAACTTAAGGGTTTAAAGCCCTGCCGGCCACTCCCCAGCCGTGATCCTAGACAACGTAGCTGGCAGGATCTTCACCTGTGGGGTCCCCACGCAGGGAGGGGGGGGTGGCTGTTTTCCTGACTGGTCTTTGGTGAGCACTAGGGACCCTGATGGTCAGATGGACCCAGGCCCACGTGTGCATCCCGGCGACTCACCTGCGCCTAGAGCTTAATGAGCTGCAAGGAGCCTAATCGCTGCACTGTTTGCTCGCTCGCTGCCCATCGCCGAGCCCAGGAGGTGACACACAACCGGACGGGCTGCCCGAAGCACGCGCTGGTTCTGTCACGTGAATGCCCACAGCTCAGGTCAGTCATTGACCGGGGCTCCCACAAGAGCACAGGCTGAGTGAAGAGAGTAGCACCCCAGGCCCAGCCCGGGGTGCCTGGGCCCCAGAAGGCAGCCCGGCAGGCTCCTCGCAGTGACCCAGTTCTCTCTGTTCCTCGTCAGGCAGAAGTCCCCTGGAGCCTTGCCCACTTGTGCTGTAAATGATGTACTTCACCCACCGCGCTGGGGGAGGGCAGCCTTTGAGCGGAAGGAATTAAGTTGGTAAACAAAAGCAAAGGCTTCGGGTGGAGGTGGTCTCCTGGCCAGTGCCTGCCTAGGCAGCTCCTCAAGAGAAAGGAGTGAAGTTGACACGGGTTGTAGGGACAGCCTGCTGCCTACTGCCCCACCTCCCCACCCCACCCCAGGTCTCCCATCTGAGCCCGTGACACCTGCCACAGCTGAGCCCCACGTGGCGTCTCCCACCCCTCAACTGTGGCCCAGCCTTGGCCCTGCATGCGTGCTTTTTAGTGGATCATGCTGTGTAAGAAATGGGGAGACATTCAGCCTGGGAGCCCCTGAAGGAGAGATGTCATGGTTGACAGGGCCACCAAATGCTCTTCTGTCCACTGGGACCCAGGTGTCCCCAAAAACCATCCCAGCAGAGCACGACCCAGGCATCCACCCTGGGAGCAGGAGTTCCACCCTACCCACCATCTGTAAGTTCCAGTGAGAAGCCCCCGCCACTCTCCGTGTACACACACACACACACCTGAGCCACGGGAGCGGAGACCCTTGTTCCCACTATGTGGGTGGGGTGTTTGTAGAGACGTGTCACAGGCCAGTCTCCCCACGCTCCAGCCTGCAGGCCAGCTAGTGCAGCAGCCCCTGTCCCTGGTTCTTCCGACCCAGATGCGGAGGGAAGGTTGTGGTGCCAGCTCCCGAGCCAGTGTTGAGGGGCAGTGGGCATGGACCAGACAGGCTCCGGCTCCAGCCAGCCAAAGTGGAGGGTGGAGAGCAGGCTGACTGATTGTTGCTTTGCCCTCAAGCCAGTGGGGACCTGCCCATGTCCCCAGCCCCCCCTGGCCCCCAGCCTTCAGGCTGCCAGCCCGAGTTCCTGAGGCTGAATCTATTAAGTCCTTCATATCAAGCAGCAAAGGGGGAAGCAACCCTCTTTCATCTTAACTGGAGTGAATTTGCATTGACACCTGGGGAGTCGCGTTTGCCTGGAGAAAGCACATTGCTATTCTGAGCTGCGCACGCACGCTGTGGAGTTGGTCGCAGTAGCCTATTCTTTTATTAATATGGTGCCTCTGCTCCCGCCCTGCGCTTTCCCAGGGAACGAGAGCTGTTGGGGATACCAGGGCTCCCCGCCCCACTTAGGAAGATCCCCCAACACCAAGGAGGGGGGCAGAAAGCACCTCCCAGCCTGGGCGGCCACCTCCCCCTAGGCAGAGGGTCCAGGGCAGCACCCTCTCGGGGCCTTGGGCCCCAGCAGCAAGCCCCAGTCCATGCTGGTGTGTGTTTGGGGAGGCCCAGGAGGGCCCAGGACTGGGAGGGCCTGGAGGGGCTCCTTACAACCAGGAAGGAATGGAGGGGACACGAATGATGGCTCCCAAAGGGCTAAGGGACCTGGCAAAGTCACCATGTGAAGCCACAGTGTTTTGGTCAGGGCCATGTCATGTGGCTACCAAAGTCCTGGCAACAGGAGGGGCAGTGGGACCTGCCATCACCTTGAGGCTGTGAGTGATTGGGGCTCCGTGACCCCCGAACCTCACTGCCAGTCGAGTTGATGCTGCTCCTGGAGTCCCTGCAGTGCAGGCTGGGACTGCCCAGGTGGGTTTCCCTGGCCGTCACTGCCGACCGGAGTAGAAAGCCATCTTTCTCCTGAGGAGCTGCTGGACTTCCGGATGGCAGCCCCAGCTGGTGTGTCAGCCCCAGCTGCTTCCCTGAGGTTGTTACTCTTCAGCCTCTTAGAAGGGAGATCTCACAGGCCACCTGGCCACCCCCACCCCCTCGCTGGGCCACCAGACCCCTCACCACCCCCAGGGAGCGGTGGGTGGGGACACTGGCTGACGGAGGAGAGGGAAGGCGCTTGTCCCTGTGAAGTGGTCAAAGCCAGCTGGGTGCAGCCTGGCCTCAGGGACCCCGTCAGCATTCCACGGGCATCCCTGGCCCCCAGCACTCTGCTGCCCTCCCTCACCCGAGACTGGGCCCCCACCACCAGGTGACATTTACCTCTGGGAAGTAGCCACCGAGTCGTGAAATCACTGTGGCCTGGGGCTAGCCCACTTCATTAAAGCCGGCTCCACTCGGCTGGGCAGGCCAGCACCCGTGGGCCCCACAGTCCCAGCTCACCCAGACAGACAGACACACACACACACACACACACCCTCTGGCTCTGGACACCAGGCCCCACCCTGCCTATAGTCAGGGGTGCACATGGTGGCCCCAAGCATGAACGTGACGGGGCCTGGGGCAGCTGTGCTGGCCCTGGCACCCTACAGGCTATGGTCCCCTCTCTGCACACAGGACGCAGGTCCTGGCAGCAGTTGTCACCCAGGGTCCCCCATTAGAGCCCCAAGTCTAGACTATCACTCCTGGTGGGACAGAGGGGAAAGAGTGTCAGAGAGCCAGTGGAGGGGGGGGTGCCACGGCAGGGGGCTCAGCAGTGTCCCTGGCTGTGGCAGGGCTTGGCAGGGGCCTGAGTCCTGGGGGCCAGGACGGGGCACCGGAGGGTGGAGAAGGCAGCTGGTGGAGGAAGTGGGGCCGTGGGCTGTGATAAGCACTCAACCGATGGAGCTGAGCTTCGGGCTGGCCCCAGGGGCCCCAGGAGACCAAGGGATGCCGCATCCTGGCCTCGCCTCCAGGGCCCGGAACGTAGTAGGTGCTCAGTGCGCATCTGCGGAGGGGCAGACTGAGTCTCGGTTTACCCGTCAGGCCTGCCCGCCCCTCCCAAGTCTTTGTGCAAGTCAGGTGGAACCGAGCGGCAGGCGGGACCCGTTCTCAGCATTAAAGTGCTGAGAAGAAGGAGGAGGAGGCCGGCCATGGTGGCAACTTCCCAGCAAGTGGGTGTCCAGCTGGAGGTGGCCTGACCCTGCCGGGTGGGCCAGCATCATGGGGCTGGTGTCATCTC